AACCAGAGATAGAGCTTAGGCTGTAAAGTGAGTTAACGGGGCAGCAGCTGTAAATACAGATGATGCGTCACTCACTCACCTCCTTCTCTGCAGCCCGGCTCCTAACAGGCCGTGGCCCAGCCCGGGTCCATTCCCTGGGGGCTGAGGGCCCCTGATTTAGAGAGCCTGAGCCCTCGGCCACTCCATCCTCAGCACCGACCCCTGGAATAAACAGCTGAGCCATCGCAGTGACGTCCATGGACTTACCAGATGCCAAGGATGCCCGCCTGCACCATATTCTGCCTCCGTTTTGAACTATCAAGTGTCACTCCTGGTGTCCTCACTCCGCAAGCCACTCTTCTTCCCAAAAGGCTAATAATCATGTTACACAAGATTATATTCCCTGGGTGTGTTTCCCCTACAAGTAATTGACTCACCATTGGTCTAGGTGGTTTTCCTTGCTAAGCTAACAAAATAAACTGCTTGGTAGCTTCCGAGGCCGTAGCCTCGTTTCCTTCCTTTTCTTAAAAGAAGTTCTGCCCTGGGGCGCTGTTTTAAACTCTCTGATTTTTCTGACCGCCGCTTTCCCGTGAGTTGGGGACGTTGCGATGACCACCAAGCCTGGCCGTGGGGGCCTCCGTTAGTCTGCCACCGCTGTGCTGGCAGTGAGCCCCAGAGATGCTTCGCCAGCTGCTGGAGTCCTCAAAGGGGCTTCCCAGCTGGCTCAGTGGTAAAGCATCCACCTTCCAACGCAGAAGATGCAGGAGTCGGGGCTCACTCCCCGGGTCAGGAAGGTCCCCTGGAGCAGTAATGGCAACCCACTCCAGTATTCTCGCCTGGAGAATCCCACGGCCAGAGGAGCCTGGCGGGGCCACACAGTCCGTGGGGCTGCACAGAGTTGGACAGAGTGCTCACGGTAACCAAACAGCTCACACTCCACTTACCTTCAAAGCACGAAGAGTCCAACAGCTTTCCTTGTTCTGACTCGACGGGTGGGCACGCGGATCCCCGCATCATGTCCCAGAATACCAAGCAAAGAGATAATATCGCCACACGCAGGTTCTGTCACGTCCACCGAACTCCCTCCAGACGAGGTGTAAGCAGAGGCCCGTGGCCGTGTTCCAGTACAGCTTTATTTACAGACACTGGAATCTGAATTTCGTACAGTTTTCATGTGTCATGGAATAGTCTTTTGACCCACTCCCCTGCCTAACACACACACTATTTAAAAATGTAAAAAGCATTCTTAGCTCCCAGGCAGTAGAAAGCGGGCAGTGGTCTGGACTTGGCCCGGCGGCTGTGTTTGCCGACACCTGATCCATACTCACATTGGTGTCACAGAACGTTAGTGACCCAGGAGGAACGGGCAGGAAGGCAGAACAAGAGGCAGCTTCAGGTTTCACCTTTACCGGGTGCCAGCCAGGAGCTCAGACGGTAAAGCGTCCGCCTGCCGTGCAGGAGACCGGGGTGTGATCCCTGGGTCGGGGACGTCCCCTGGAGAAGGAAAGAGCCGCCTACTCTAGCATTCTTGCCTGGAGAATCCCATGCACAGAGGGGCCTGGCGGGCTACAGAGGAATCCTCTGAGCTGACTTGGGAAATGAGATCAGTTAATTCCCGGTGCTTCTCAGGTCTGGGCACTCGGGAACAGGCCGAGAACCAGTCTGTCTTCTGTCATCAGCCGCTTCCTCTGGCTCTAGCACGGGGCCCTCTGCCCTGGCTGAGAAGCCGGGAGGAGCAGAAAGGCACCGTGGCAACAGGGCCTGATCACAACCCCTCAGAGCCCCTGCCTGTTTCTAAGGGTGCCTGTGCCGGCGCCCCCAATCAAGACCGAGCCCTGGTCTTGCAGTGTCAGTGTTTGCAGTCAGCCTGCGTCCCAGTGCCAGTCAGCCTTACCAGCTGTCTGCCCAGGTAGGAGCCATGGTTCCCCGGTGCAGAGAGAAGTGCCTGTTCTTTTTTGTGGACCACACAGCCCGTGGGCTTCCCCAGTGCCTCAGCGGTAAAGGATCTGCCTGCGAATGCAGGAGATGCGGGTTTGAGCCCTGGGATGGGAAGATTCCCTGAGGAGGAAACCGCAGCCCACTCCAGTGTTCTTGCCTGGAGAATTCCATGGACAGAGGGGCCTGCAGAGAGGGCCAGAAAGAGCTGGACGCAGTTGAGCACACACATACCTGGGGACACAGTATGTGGATTCTTAATTCCCCACCCAGGGATCGAACCTGCACCCCCTGCACTGGAAGCGTGGAGTCCTTACTGGGCCACCGGGAAAGTCCCTCCCTGTTCTTTCTGCGGGGCTTGTGATGGGGGCGACAGAGGATGAGATGGCTGGATGGCATCACCGACGCACTGGGCATGAGTCTGAGTAAACTCCGGGAGTTGGTGATGGACAAGGAGGCCTGGAGTGCTGCAGTCCGTGGGGTCACAAAGAGTCGGGCACGACTGAGCGACTGAACTGAACTGAACTGTCAGCACTATAGTTTCCAGGCAAATCGCTGCCCCACCAATGATGTCATCGCCCAGTGGACGCTTACTGTCCAGCTCGGACTTGGCCCTAAACTTACACAAGGCCTTTGGGGAAAGTGGCTACACCAGATGAGAACCTGCTTGTGATTCATGGGAAAGTCCTCCCGAGATGTTGAGTGAGACTGCTGGGGAGACTGACACTATAGTACTACTATTGTGCCGTTACTGTTAACAACCGTTTATGTTTTTACCCCAGAGTAGATGGCCAAAATGGAAACAATAAGTGTGTACACTTTCCCGTTTCAAGCTATCGTTTATGTAAATAAATTTTCACTTGATCAGCTTTGGTGATTGGATCAGGTTGCGTGGTCATCACCGCAATCCAGATATAGGACGTTCTGTCTCCATATATGTCCTTTGCGCTTCTTTGTAGCTAATCCCTTCCCCGACTCTAGTTTCGGCTTTTCTACAATTCCTTACATCTGAATTCTTTTTCATTGATAGAGGGATTAAAGTTGTTGCTTTCTTCTTTGGTCAGTTTTGGTCACCTCTGTCTTTTATGAATTTTGTCTGTTTCATCCATGTTGTCAAATATGTTGGCATAAAGTTGTTGAAATCATTTCTTACTATCCCCCTAAGGGCTATAGGGTATGTATCGATGACCCCCCTTTTAAATGTATGATGTATTGATTTTAAAGAGAAAACTCAAACACAATATAAAGTTTTGCATCCTGTTTTCTTCCTACATTTCTAACTTCTTGTCCTTTTATTTTCCCCTCTTTAACTGGTGTGCACTAAGGGCTTCCCAGGTGGCTCAGTGGTAAAGAATCCTCTTGCCAATGCAGGAGACACAGGAGACAAGGGTTCGATCCCCGGGAAGGGAAGATCCCCTGGAGGAGGGCCTGGCAACCCACTGCAGTATTCTTATCTGAGGAATCCTATGGACAGAAGAGTCTGGTGGGCTGCAGTCCATGGGATTGCAAAGTCGGACACAACTGAGCAGCTAAACAACAATGTGCACCTAACCCAGTGCGGTACAGCCAAGGAACGCTGAATCCACCTGCAGTGCAGGAGACCCGAGTTCAATCCCTGGGACGGGAAGATCCCCTGGAGAAGGAAACATGGCAGCCCACTCCAGTGTTCTTGCCTGGAGAATCCCATGGACAGAGGAGCCTGGTGGGCTGCAGCCCATGGGGTGACAAAGAGTAGGACACGACTGAACAACTAACACGAACGTTGTTGTTGTTGTTCAGTCATTAAGTCATGTCCGACTCTCTGTGACTCCATGGACTGCGGCACGCCAGGCTTCCCTGTCCTTCACTATCTCCCTGGCTTTGCTCAGACTCATATCCCCTAAGTCAGTGATGCCATCCAACCATCTCATCCCCTATCGTCCCCTTCTCCTCCCGCTCTCGATCTTTCCCAGCATCAGCGTCTTTTCCAGTGGGTCAGCTCTTCGCATCAGGTGGCCAAAGTATACTTAAATTCAGCTGCGCAGTAGCCCATGACCTTAGGCATTTCACTGGAGCGCTCTGAGTCTTAACCGTGTCCTCTGTCAAGTGTGCTGACAGTGTCTCTGTGCAGGTTACTGGGAGGCCTTGCCCATGGTGGGCACTAGGGAGATGCCAGCCATCGCCATGGTGACAGATAACGTGACGGTGGTCCCCAAACTCGTACAGCTCGGCCCAGACCGAGTCACTGGTTTTAGGAGGATGGAGCCTTCCGTTTTCTCTCATCCCATGTGTCTGTTTCACACTCTGCATAACTAGAACCCTGAATTTTTGCCCCGTGGTGTACATTATTGAAACACCGTTAAGTCTTTAACTAGAAATTCTGCTTTCAACAGATATAGTTCATCTGTGCAAGTATTCCTAAGAATGACTTTTATATAAAAGTCAAGATTAAAAATCCAAGACACTTAGAACAGAACTTCTCAATGTGTTTCTCATTATAGCACACAAGGTACATGACACATCTTTAGCATATAGTGGGATAATCTGACAAGAAGACTCACTGGGAAGACATAGCCATTCCAGAGCTCTGGCCCCCCCAGATCCTGCCCTGATCAGCTGCGGGGCTAAGAGCATCCCCGCTCTGGCACACCTGTAATTCAGCGCTGAGCTCCTCCAGCTGGAAGCTCTGTAAGACATCTGGGACAATTAGAGATAGTAGTAATAGAATAGCCAGTAGTGAAGTGAAAGGCGCTCAGTCGTGTCCCACTATTTGTGACCCCATGGACTGTAGCCCACTGGGCTCCTCTGTCCGTGGGATTCTCCAGGCAAGATTACTGGAGTGGATTGCCCTGCCCTCCTCCAAGGGATCTTCCCGACTCAGAGATTGAACCCTGGTCTCCTGCACTGCAGGCAGATTCTATACCATCTGAGCCAGCAGGGAAGCCCAAGAGCCAGTTAAGAAAACATCTAATCATTGCTGCAAGAAGACAATGAAGAAAATCATCACACTTAAAAAAGAAAAAAATCTAAGACACTTAAAGCAGAATTGCAGACATTAGATTCTTTATCATTGTTGCTTTATAAAAAAACACTTCTTGTCTCTGTAGGACCTTGGTTTTCCCCTTTCTGATCCGGGGAGGGAAGCCCACGCCACTGTATGTCTTCCTGTTGGCGTTCGTCTTCTGCACCTATAACGGCTACCTGCAGAGCAGGTACCTGAGTCAGTATGCAGTGTACGCGGACGACTGGCTCAGAGACCCCCGGTTTCTAACAGGTGAGTGTCCTCAGCAACGCGCCCCATCCTTGTAACCTTCAGCTCGGTGTTCACCTTCCGGTAGGGTCCAGTTAGAGAGCATCTTGAGAGTATAGAGTCTGCCAAGGTCCCTGACCTGGGACGAGGGGTCAGGCTGTCCCCGTGACGCAGGCGCCCAGCTCCCTTGCCCACTCAAGCGCCGAAAGCGCAAATACCTGTTCTTAAGGTGACCTAAAAATAGCAATGAGCCACAGCAGGCTGAGCAGCGGACCAGGACTGAGGCCACTCGGGTGCTAACTGACCGTGTAATCTAAGACCGTCATTAGATCTCCTACAGTTCCTTCTGGAAAGCAAGAGGAAGTCGGTCATCTTCAACAAGGCAGTGAGACTTTAAACTCTGAGCTTTATGAGGTTTTTGAAACTTTTTAAAAATTTTTATCAATTAATATAAAGTAGCACATTTTCTAGGCTTCCCTGGTGGTGGCTCAGACGGTAAAGAATCTGCCCACAATGCAGGAGACCTGGGTTCCATCCCAGGGTCAGGAAGATTCCCTGGAGGGGGGAATAGCAATCTGTTCCAGTATTCTTGCCCAGAGAATCCGATGGACAGAGGAGCCTGGTGGACCACAGTCCTCAGGGTCGCAAAGAGTCAGACACAACTGAGCAACCAACACTCCACTGCACGGCTGAGAGGATGTTGGTCTGTGCTCGTGGTGTCTGGGTGGGCCTGTCCACCACTGCCATCTGTGACACCGTGCAGATGACCCCTCCAGCAGGAGCTCTAGTCCTTAGGCTGTTACTTAGGACGAGAGCAGGCAGGGGCTGGTATGGTGAGAGCAAGGTCTTCTGTCATCAGATAAGGCTGGTATAACCTGGCTTACTCAGGGCCATTAAATTTCTTATGCTGGCGATATGGTGATATTTCTTGTGAAAGCTGAGATGCACATCAGTCCTACGATGCCAAGTTTGGCGTGATGAGCTCCAAGTCTAATTGCAGCAGCTGGCTTGGGTCACTGAGGGTGCATGCTCCGTTGGGCCACCCCTTTGTGACCCCGTGGACGGTAGCCTTTGGGTCACTGACAAACACCTGGCTACCTCTGCTAACACAGAGAAGCGATTTCACTTTCCTAGTACATTTTCCAGTTCTAATTAAACCTTACAATTTCTAAACAAAAATGGTAAAAAAAAAAAAAGTCATCAAAAATATTTGCAAGGATGTAAAAAATGTGTAATTTGGGGGCTCTTGTTTATAAGGAAGTTTCTATATGTTTACCCTCTTCATGTTTAGAAATTCTAGCACATTCAGTTATCGCTTACTCCCATGGTAGCTAGTCCACCGGGCTTCCCAGGTGGTACAGTGGTAAAGAATCTGCCTACCAATGCAAGAGACGTGGGTTCGATCCCTGAGTCAGGAAGATCCCCTGGAGCGGGAAATGGCAACCTACTCTGGTGTTCTTGCCTGGAAAATTCCATGGACAGAGGAACCTGGTGGGGGGTGGGGGAGGCGGTGAAGGGGGAGAGTCCCATTAAGGGGGTTGCAAAGAGTTGGACAGAACTGAGCCACTGAGCACGCACACATGCACACAGGTAGCTACTAAGAGTCTGTCAAATCTTCAAATTGCCCCAAAGCCCTTTAAACTATATAAGGTGACCTTAGGACTCCCCTGGTGGTCCAGTGGTTAAGAATCCGCCTGGCAACGCAGGGGATACAAGTTTGATCCCTGATCTGGGAGGATTTCACTTGCCCGAGACCAGCTAAACCGGTGTGCCCTAGAGCCCATGGTCTGCACCAGGGGAAGCCATCGCCGTGAAAAGCCAGAGCACTGCACCTAGAGAGCAGCCCCCACTCCTCTCGACTGGGGAAAGCCACATGCAGGAGTGAGGCCGAGCACAGCCGGAAACAAAGTAAAAAATAAACTGACCCTCCGTTTCTTTCGGGGTTTTTTCCTCCACATCTATGAATTGGTCATGATAGAGAAAATTAACATTTAAACTCCCAGGCGGCACCAGTGGTAAAGAACCCTGCCTGCCAATGCAGGAGATGTAAGAGATGCGGGCTCAATCCCAGAGAAGGGGAGATGCCCCCTGGAGGAGGGCCTGGCAACCCACTCCAGTATTTTTGCCTGGGAAACCCGATGGACGGGGGAGCCTGGTGGGCTACAGTCCCTGGGGTCGCGGTCGGACAGGACTGAGCGGCCTAGCGCACGCCCACGCTGGCTCCGCAATCTCTGCCTCCAGGAAACACCAGACTGATCTGTTGTGTTTGTGCACTGCCCCCAAACACGATCTCGATTTAACTGCTCTCTGACTATCTGATTTTCTTCTGCCCCAGTTATCAGGAGGAGGAAGGAAACAGAACAGGCTTAGTCCACTGCCAGGAACTGCACCCACGCTCTGCCTTCTGAGGTTCAGAGCAGGGCCGCAGTTAGGTCCTCGTCACCTGAGGGAGGAAAGGTCAGAGAGTGAATCAGCCGGCCCTGGGCCTAGCCTGAGTCATGGCAGAGTAGTGGTTTCAACCAGATCATCGCCAGCCCCTGTAGTAGGCAACCAAGGACAGAGAAAGGCGACTTTTTTTTTAACTAAAAGATAACAGTTTTAATTGTTTATTTGGGTGGCTTGGGTGGTAAAGACGCTTCCTGCAGCGCAAGAGACCTGGGTTCGATCCCTGGCGTCAAGAAGATCCCCTGGAGGAGGCCGTGGCCACCCACTCCAGTGTTTGTGCCTGGGGAGTCCTGGGGACAGAGGAGCCTGGTGGGCTGCAGTCCACGGGTCAGCAACGAGTCAGAGACAGTCGAGCAACTGACACTGCTACTACTTGAGGTTCTCATGGGAATTGCTTCTGGGATGGATTGTTTGAAAATTGTTGATAAATAGCGATAAAACGAAAGAATTCTTTGGCCTGTGCATTTAAATGTCATTTGAAGTAGTTCTGCAGGTCGCACTTGTGCCCTGAAAACCCTTTGAAGCTGGTCTAAAGTTTAAGACATTCAGTAAATTGTGTATAGACTTCTTAACCTCTCCACAATTGAACAGGAAGAATTGAAAATGAGAGCACAGTCATTGAGAAACAAGCTGGGTTACTTTTTTGGTATACTGTTCATACAGGACACGTACACATAGCTTTTGTAATTATATGAAGTTTTGAAATCACATAAATGATTAATTATATTTACAATAGTTACCATGAAAAGATAAGTGAATAATAATAAAATCCCAACAAAAAGTTTTCCAGAGGAGTAAAAGTAGTTCATCTAAAAGAGTTTGTACAAAGATTTTAAGATCTCTAGCCATGAAATTAAATGTTTAGTTCAGATGAACACAGGTATTAGTTTTATTACTGACCTAGGTGATAAAGGAAACTTGTCTCATGGAATTTTGAGAACATGGTGCTTTCTGGAGCTTCCAAAGTGATACAGTGAAATACAAACAGAGTAGCAAGTCAACTGTTAATCGATGGCTCTAGTAAGTGCTTTGGCTTCCCACGTGGCTCAGTGGTGAAGAACCTGCCTACCAATGCAGGAGACATGGGTTCAACCTCTGAGTCGGAAAGATTCCCTGGAGAAAGAAATAGCCACCCACTCCAGTATTCTTGCCTGGGAAATCCCATGGACAGAGGAGCCTGGCAGGCTGCAGCCCACGGGGTTGCAGAGAGTTGAACATGACTGAGTGGCTAAACACCAAACAAAATAAGTGACTTACAAAAGCTGTTAAAATTTGGTACAAGCTGTTTAGAAAGAAAGCTGCCTAGGAAAGAAATCACAGGATCCTGAAAGCTTTACTGTAGACCTGAGCGTGATTTACATCCCTGTTCTCACCCGGGAAAACTGTTTAATGCCCCTGGGCTAACTGATGAATAGTTAATAATGTTACTCCAAGTGTTCGTTTGTTTGACTTTGAATCAAGTGCCACAGTTGAGCACCATGTGCATTTCACTTTTCTTTTCATATCTCAGAGCAATCAAGTTAACGTCTTAATGAAGTCAAGTCATTCCTTTCATCAAACACTGTTTTGACATTTTCTCTTTTCTTGTTGACATTCATTGGTGTGGTACTAAGTCTCCCTTAACTGGTGAAAACCCTCTGCAGTCATTTAAGAATGGGAGAGAAAGCATTCAGATGCTGTGGAAGATCTAGCCAGAGCCAGGAAGCTGACAGTTGACAGTTTTGTTGAGAGATGAGGACATGAACAGTTCCACGAATGCCAAATGATGAGTGAGCAGAAAATGGGTAGGGGAGGGGTGTGGATCTACATTAAATCATTACGTAAAATTATAGGGAAACGAGGACCAGAGAGGAGCTCCTGGGGACCACCCCTCAAGGGGCCTGAGTGCAGCCCACCCTGGTAAAGCACTTTCCGGGGACCTCCTGCCCCACATCTGCCCGTGGGAGGGGGTGGGGGGACACTGTGCTTCAGACAGTGTCTGCGAGGTCATGTGAACTTTGTGGGCCGACCCACGGATGATGACAACGCCTTTTCCTAGGAAAGAGCCTTGTGACTTAGTCAGATTTCTAATCATCCCAGTCACCCTAAAAACATAGACTGTGACCATCAGATCAAGTGATTTTAGATGAATTGGGTAATTCAGTAGTATTTTTAGAAAAGCAAAGCCCTATCTCGCAACACCTAAGTCAGCTAAGTCATCTTTCTAAATGAAGCACAGTATTTATTTCCATGATTTTTACTGTCAGTCACAGCTCCTATGTTATGCCTGTACTGATATTGTGAAGGATCACAATAATACTGTTCATTCACACTTGGGCTTGTGAATTCTGTGGCTTGCCGTAATACCCTTGGATGTTTTATCTTGTTTAGGTTCTGCCTTATGGTTGATAGGCATGCTGATTAACATCCATTCAGATCATGTCCTGAGGAACCTCAGGAAACCGGGGGAGACTGGCTATAAAATACCAAGAGGTATGTACCAAAAAATGGGGTATTTATTTTAAAATTGACTGCCTGGAGAATTCCATGGACAGAGAAGCCTGGTGGGCCACGGTCCATCAGGCTGCAAAGAGTCGGACGTAACTGAAGTGACTTAGCGTGCATTCTAAGATTGTATGGCCTGATGCCTTGCTGTTTGGGTTTTGCCAGAGCTCGTAAGTGAAGTGTAGTGTTCATTAGCTGCATGTTTTCAGTCTGTCACTGTTACTAGTAGTAGCAGTGACTAATCATTGTTTTATTTAATAAAATGATAGAAGAACCAGTTCTGACTAATGGAAGCAAAAAGGAAATTCTAGTTATATCTGTGTTTGGAAAGAGCATATGAGTAGGAATTAATGGTCTACGAGGGTTGTCCAGCACTTTCTTTCTTGCCATAGAATAGAATTGATACCTTGACTGACCCTCTCTCCAAAACACTTTAAAATGTTGAGTAAAATTTTTAAATGCATCAGTATGGTATCAAGAGCAGAAGTGATCCTCAGAGGGCAAAATCTAAGTGAGGGCTAAAGTCCTGACTGCATCTTGGTGGAATTGGTGACTGCCCGCTGACCCTCAAGGTGGCTTACAGTCCAAATTCGTGCCGCTTGCCTGGTCTGAAAAATACCATCCAGCCATGAGTTAGGATCTTTGTGGTCCTGGGGGTGGTGGGCTCACACCGCGGTCGAGGCAAACCCAGATCCCCAGGGAACCTGTCTTCAACTCAGGCCTCGAGAGCCCAGGAGACCCTCCACCGTGGAAGAAGGGCCACAGTCAAAAGTTGCAGAGCCCATGAGGAACAGAGCCTCATGAGCAAAGACTTCACTGATGTGCGTGATCTCAGAGCTTAGAATTCAGATACAGGTTATAAACTTTCATATTTAAAACTTACGTATTTAAACTGTAAAGGGATTGAAAGTCTGAGTAAAGGAGTAGCGTACTATAAAAAGAACTATATAGATATATAAGTTAAAAAAAACAATAGAACTTCTGAAAAAAAATTTTTTTTAATCAGTTGGTAAAGCTAAAAGCTAAAAGAGTGAAGGTGAACAGCTCAAACAGCAGCGCTCAGTTTGGAATCCTTGTGTTTATCTTCCTGGAAACCATACAGAAATAACAGCTGAATAAATGACTGAAAAATCCCGTGAACCTCAAATTGCTTAAGCTGTGGCCCTGGGGTTATCCTTGGAGTGTGCCGCTCTGGTCTCTGGCACAAGTTCCTTCCATCCAGCCCACTCCCAGCCCCACTCCCAGCCGCCTCCCCCTGCTCTGCCCCTTGAGTCCCCCGCACCCTCCCTGGGGTGTAATAACCCAGCTGTATAGGGAGCCATCTCGTCCATGGAGCACCCCCCATCCTTAGAAGAAGGTCTGGCCTGTCATGTAGACTTACTGAGTCCAGGAAGACTTGATGAGTAAACGCACAAGTGAATCTGTCCTTGAAAATTCATGTTTTCTTCCCTTTTTTGTCTAGGGGTTCCTCGAAGTCCATCTTATCAAGACTAACACTGTTGGTCTGTGCTCCACAGCCTGGTTTAAGCTTTGTCAGCTTGACTCATTAGCTAGTAAAGCAACTTACTGAAGTGTGTTAAAGCCGTAGCATTCTTACGTAGTCAGATAAACAGGTGAATATTGATCTAGGCATGCAGTTATGACCAGAAGTTGTAATATGAAATAGTAAAGCTGGTCTTACTGGATGTGTCTCAGTGATGGAAGTTCTGTAAAGGTCGCATTTTTCCAGAGCTGGTTTTTATGTTATCTCCACAGGTATGCACAGGTCTCTCTCCAGTCAAGGTTTCATTAGGCATTGTTTTTTAGTAAATGTGCTGCCGGCTCTGTTTTCTCCTAGGGGGCTTGTTTGAATACATATCTGCAGCCAACTACTTCGGAGAAGTCGTGGAGTGGTGTGGCTACGCCCTCGCCTGCTGGTCCATTCAGGGCTGGGCTTTTGCTGTGTTCACCTTCTGTGTCCTGTTCACTAGGGCTCAGCAACATCACAAGTATGTTTGAAAACACATTCGGCATTTTTAATTTCTTCTCTGATCTCTATAGAGCAATCCTCAGGTTAGATTTTAGAAATGTTCGTATTAATTTGTCAAACCCCAGTTTATACCAGGCTTTAGTTAAACAAAAGGGCTTTCTCACTGGCTCAACATTAGAGAATTTGCCTGCAATTCGACAGAGCCGGCTTTGATCCCTGGGTCAGGAAGATCCCCTGGAGGAGGAAGTAGCAACCCGCTCCTGTATTCTCGCCTGGAGAATTCCATGGACAGAGAAGCGTAGCCAGCTACAGTCCATGGGGTCACAAAGAGTCGGACACAACTGAGTGACTGACACTTTTAGCTACATGAAAACAGAAAAACACAAATGTCCGAAGAAATGCCTAGCTGTAATCATCAGGCATGTGTCAGCATCCTTGTCTGCTTCGCCCTGTTCTGAGCATTTTGGATATTCTATGGCTGGGCTCCATGGTCAAGTTAAATGTCTGGCAGGGGATTGGGGGTCTGCTGTGGACTCGCCGATGACAAAGGGGAACGCTAACCAGGCAGCAGGAGTTGGAAGAGTCGGCATCGTGCCCTGGCAAAGTCCCATCCCATAGGTGTGCCCCACCGCCCAGGCCGGGGGTCCCCAATGGGCACTGTACCCTGAAATCACATCGTTTTCCAGAGTGTGGGGCCTCGACCTTTATCAGATCCCTGAAAAGGCCTGTGATGCGTTGGACCATCAACATGAAAAGGGCGTTAAAGGTGAAGTGATCTTGAAGGGCATCTGCCCAGCCTAACAGGTGGGAAACCAAGGCTCAGGGAACAAAGCCTCAGGCAGGTTGGGAGTCATGTGTCCTGCAACGGGGGGCTCCCAGACTGGCTCAGTATCGGGACGGTCCCCCTGATGCCACAGCAGTGCTGGGAGTTTGGCGTGTGTCAGGTTGACCTGACCCTAGGAGTGGAGTCTGTGCCAATGGGGCTGGTTCAGATGAGGTGGCACTGGAAGTTGGGCCCGAGGACTGGTGTCCTTGTGAAGAAGGGGAATCTGGACACAGACGGTCATGCAGAGAAGAGACAGCCACCAGCAGACAGACACAGAGGGAAGCCGGAAGCCGAGAATGCAGCGATGCCGTCATGGACCAAGGCACCCAGAGGCTGCCAGAAGCTGGGAGAGGCAGGGACGGACCATCCCCTGGAGCCTGGGAGGGAGCATGCTCCTGCCCACACCTGGGTGGCGGGCTTCTGGCTGCCAGGCGGCAAGAGCAGACGCACCGTCATTTCAGGCCCCAGCTTTGTGGCTCTGTGTTGCCGCAGCCCCGGGAAACTGGTGACGCCAGCCCTTCTGGGGTGCAGCGTCCCTGGGGCCATGAGCACAGACGGGGAGTCTGAGACGCTCGGTTTTCTCCTCTGCTGGTTGATCCCTGCCATCTCAGGCCTGCAAAACATTTTGCCCAGAACCAGAAAGAACCACGCTCTCCACAGGCCTGGCTGAAACCATATATTATCATCTCTTTAGACTAAAACTATCTAATGTCTTAGAAAATTTTAAAAAAAAATTAGATTCATGGAACAGCAGTATATTTCGTAAGACTTTGATAAAGATCTGTGATTTGTTTACACTTGGAAAGTCTTCACTCACGCGTCAGTGACCTGTCCCTGGCAGAGGAAGGCTTCTGGAAGAGAGATTGGGAACACGAAGTTTTTCATGATCTAGAAACACACAGACATGCAAATGGTTACAGGGTTATTCCACATTCAGCAGAAAGGCAATGAGATGTCAGTTCAGCCTCGACAGTAATAAATTCAAGACAAAGAAGTGATATCCAGCCCTGGTCAGGTCACATAAGCTTTGATTCTAAGGGTAGAAAAATGAATGAGAAAAGTAATAGAAATATGCTGCTTGTCCTTTTAGAAGTGTCTATGGCTGGATGAATCACAAGCTGGAATCAAAATTGCCGGGAGAAATATCAACAGCCTCAGATATGCAGATGTTACCATTCTTGTGGAAGAAAGTGAAGAGGAACTAAAGAGCCTCTTGATGAGGGTGAAAGAGGAGAGTGAAAAAGCTAGCTTAAAACTCAACATTCAGAAAACTAAGATTGTGGCAGCCTGTCCCATCAGTTCATGGCAAATAGAAGGGGGAAAAGTGGAAGCAGTGATAGACTTGATTTTCTTGGGCTCCAAAATCACTGCGGACAGTGACTGCAGCTATGAAATTCAAAGACCTTTACTCCTTGGAAGGAAAGCCATGACAAACCTGGACAATGTACTAAAAGCAGAAACAAATCACTTTGCCGACAGAGGTCTGTGTAGTCAAAGCTATGATTTTTCCAGTGGTCATGTATGAATGTGAGAGTTGAACTAGAAAGAAAGCTGAGCACCGAAGAATTGATGCTTTTGAACTGTGGTGTTGGAGAAGACTCTTGAATGTCCCTTGGACTGCAAGGAGATCCAACCAGCCCATCCTAAAGGAAAACAGTCCTGAATATTTGTTGGAAGGACTGATGCTGAAGCTGGAGCTCCAATACTTTGGCCCCATGATGCAAAGAACCAACTCTTTGGAAAAGACCCTGATGCTAGGAAAGATTAAGGGCAAGAGGTGAAGGGAGTGATTGAGAATGAGATGGTTGGATGGCATCACCTACTCAATGGATATGAGTTGAGCAAACTCTAGGAGATAGTGAAGGCCAGGGAAGCCTGGCGTGCTTCCATGCACGGAGTCACAAAGAGTCAGACACAACTGAGCCACTGAACAAGAAAGCGCATGTATAAAGTGTATACATATACATATATGCTGTGCGGCATGAGCAGTCTTAGGGGATCTCAGTTCTCTGACCAGGAGACAAACCCGTGCCCCCTGCAGCGGAAGCACAGAATGTTAACCGTTGGACTGCTGGAAGACTCCTTATAAGCAGGGCCCCAACTTCCGGGCTGATGCCTGATGATCTGAGATGGCGCTGATGTAATAATAAAAGAAGTAAAGTACACCATGCATATAATATGCTTGAAGCATCCTGAAACCATTCCCTTGACCTGGTCTGTGGACAAACCGTCTTCCGTGAAACCAGTCCCTAGTGCCACAAAGGTTGGCAACCTCTGCTTTGAAGTCTTTCCTTGAGGTGGATTTGAGGTCTCAGTGGTTAAACAAAGTAGAACAGCTTCCTGGGCTGCACAGTGCTCGGAGCTGACCCGAGGGCTGTGAGGGTGAGGCTGTCCTTGTTGACTTTGGACTGCCGCTGGCCTTCACGCTTGCCCTTCCAAGGCCACTGTCCTCAGTCCCCGGGCAGGGTCAGGAGAGGGACTCGCCTGCCCTCCTGCCCTGCTGACCCACGGGAGGCCCTTAGGAGCCAGCTGGTTCATGTCCTGGGTCCCGCGCAGGACGTCTTAGTCCATTCAGGCTGATGTAACAGACATGCCATAATCCAGGGCCTTATGAACAGGAGGTGTCTGTTTCTCCCAGCTCTGAAGGCAGCAAATCTGAGATCCGGATGCCACCAGCAGGGCCATTTCTGGGGGAGGCCTTCGGCTGGGTCGCGGATGGCGCCTACTCACTGTAAACTCATAAGGCGAGAAGAGGGAGGGGCCCCTTTAATCAGGGCACGGACTCCATTCTTGAGGCTCCATCCTTATCACCTCCTGAAGGCCTCACCTCCTGATACTATCATCCCCTTGGGCCTTAGGTTTTTTACATGACTTTGCAGGGTTCACATTCAAACCGTAGCACAGGCCAGTGTGAGTCAACACATGGATTGTGCACGTACTCGGCTCCACTGCTGTGTGTAACCCCTCTTGTCTCCAGGCACATCACTGATCTGGAAAAGTCCATGGTTACCATGGCCTCTAACCCTTCTTGTCTCCAGACGTCATCACTGATCTGGAAGTCCATGGTTGCTGTGGTCTCCCAGGTGGCTCAAGTGGTGAAGAGTCCACCTGTCAATGCAGGAGATCCAGGAGATGCAAGCGATGCAGATTTGATCCCTGGGTCGGGAAGATCCCCTGGAGAAGGAAATGGCAACCCACTCCCGTATTTCTGCTGGGGAAGTCCCATGGACAGAGGAGCCTGGTGGGCTACAGTCCAGAGTCACAAAGAGTCCGACATGACTGAGCATGCACACACACCACACACACCCCGCACACACACACACACACACACACACACACCACACACCACATACACACGTGTCAGGGGAGGTGACCACCTCCTCAGGGTGCTTCTCCTGATGTGTCTTTGGGGGATGCAGAACAGCGCGTGAAAGTACCATGGCAGTCTTCTACGTCACGGCTCCATGCGGGTAACAGTGTTGAATTTATCTAAAATCAACAGGATTTTACTGACTCACTTTCAGGTTGCTGGTATATTTCATGTATTTCTGCCATCTTTATAACAGGTATATCTCATATATTTCTGCCATCTTTGGAAATAATAGGTAATCATTTTCCAGCGTTGTTTTCAGTCTGTTTAACATTCGCTGTGCTTAGGGAAACTCCCTTTTTCCATCTATTTCTCCATTTTGTCCGATTGTTTTTTCATTTTTACTCCATCCACTTGGCTGCAACCCTTTTCACAATGAATGAGTGTACCTTGGTTGACTTCATTTATAGTCAAAACTGAAAATCCCTGTTTGTTTGAGCGGAGAGCCACATTATGAACGAGCCCTGTTGCATGTTCCTGGATTTGTTTTGAGAGCTACCCAGCCCATAGCTGCATGCTCTTGCCACAGACCCTGGGTCTGAGCCCTCATTCTCCTCCGAGGACTGGAGAAAACTCTCAGGGTCACCAAACCATAGTCAGGACACACCTGCTCATTTGCCCTCCGCTTCCCTAGTCTGTCTGCTTCCGGGGTCTGCTAAGGTGGCCCCCCAGCCTCCAGGTCAGCATGTTTATCACATGCCTGTAACTTTCCTTGCCAATAGAAAGGTGAATCATAGGTGTCACATCTTCTCGAATCAGGCTGTACCATCAGATGTGTTTAGCTATCCACAATACCGACAAAGTCAAGCTGTGTACCTGAGATGCCAGAATTTTTATTACTCTGCTTTTTTGATTGGAGTATGTTTCCTTACCAGTGCTCTGTTCATTTCTACTGTTGTATTACTACTTTTACAAAGGTCAGGATCCCTTTATGAGGAGACTGTTGTCCATTTTGTTAGCACCTGTCAAACGTTTCAGTGAGAAAAGTAAGTTTTTTAATGTATTTTTTTTTTGTCTTATTTCAGGTGGTACCATGAGAAATTTGAAGATTATCCAAAATTCAGAAAAATCATGATTCCGTTTTTGGTTTAAGTTTGTCATCAGTGGAATTATCTTTGACTTGAAACTTTTTGATGAAGTTTCTCTTGGGACCGTGTCAATGAACTGATTGATGTCTTTGTGATATTTCTGGTACTTCATCTTTTTTAAGATTTGCTCCAGGATTTTTTTCCCTTAGCAAATGTGTACGCTGCCTAATAACAGTCTAATCAAACTGACATCACAAATTGAAGTATGACGCTGCCCACTAAGCAGATCAGGAATCTGAACGCCTCTGATTTGGGGTCTGCTTCCATGGAGTCGGGCTTGGTGGCTCAAATGGGAAAGAATCTGCCTGCATTGCGGGAGACCTGGTTTCGGTGCCTGGGTTGGGAACATCCCCTGGCCAAGGGCATGGCAACCCACTCCAGTATTCTTGCCTGGAGAATCCCATGGACAGAGGAGCCTGGCGGGCTACGGTCCATGGGATCGCAGAGAGTGGGACACGACTGAGCGACTAACACTTTTTTCACTTTCACTTTCTATGAACTGAAACATTTCTGTATCCCTTACACAACCTCGACAACATGAGTTTAAGGTCAAAGGTGACATCCCCCTCCCCTCCAAGCCAGAGGCATCTTCTGTCTTCATGTCCCTCCTCCCGCCAGGTCAGACAGTTCTGGCTACCCACAGTGTACCCACAACCTCTCACAACTGGGTGCTGGGCAGGCAGAGGAGTTGGGCCTGGAGAAAGGCCCAGTGGAGGCTGGTACCGAAGGCTTCTGGCACCCGCTCCGGCCTGGTCCACCAGGTGACCTTACTGGAGGCAGCGCGCCAGGGGCATTCTCCAGGAGCAGGGCACTGTATCCCCCACAGGAGGACTTGCTGGTGGCCCTCGGCTGGGGGCATGAAGGTGCCCAGGGCAGCCTTCCCATCAGGTCCCTCACCAGGAGCTGCTGGCCTGGGATGGCTTTCCTTCCTCCTTTGAGGTAGAATTGGAATTTTTTCAGGCACTCAAGATTGCACACCTGCAACTTGAAGCAGAATTTCTTTTTTTCAGTGCTCCTAACTCTACGGAGATCAATGACAACAGTAACATTTGCTAGGTATTGCCGGATGTGTCAAAGGAGCCTCCCCTTTTGGAAGGCTGTTGAGTCTCTGCTGTGAAGATGTAGTGAACACCCAGAGAAGACCCCCTCCTCTCCTCTGTTGCTGCTGCATTTGCAGAGCTGGGAACTGGAACAGGTGCATGGAGAGAGTTCATGTTCGCTTACAGCCACTGACCATGCTGAGTGACGGGACTCCAGGATTCACCACACTGTGTCTTAGGCATTCTGCAGCTGCGCCTCCAGGCAGGGAGCACGCCCTCTGGCCCCTGCTCTCCGGACCCCTGGGCACCCCATCGGATCAGCCCCCCCTCCCTTCTCCTGGTTCACCTTCCCAACCAGGGGCTCCCTCCCCACGAGTTTTCACGTAGAAGCTGTATTCTCGGTGTTAGCGGTTTGTTGCAGTCTCTTAGGGTTTTCAAAAAGCTTTCCTGATGTGGTTGTCCTTCATCTTAACTAAAACTGGAAAGCTTTTGCAGGGAACTTTAATGGTCAAATAAACTCTGTGCTTCATTTTACCTAAAAAACTGGAAGGCTCTTGCAGGGAAACTTTATGATCAAATTAAACTTTGGAGCTTTTTCTGACTGAATAACTACTTGAAACCATAAAACTGTAAATATTTAGAATGTCTTCTGGGAAACTCAGAAATCTGAGCAAGCCTTAACTAATTTGGGCCCTGGGTTCTGGAAGGCATGCCTGGCCAGAAAGAGTCTTGTCAGAGAGGCCCACTGGGAGTTCTGCGTCTGTCGGTGCTGCTTTTTTGAGTGACCAGAATTCGGGGTTCAGTGGTGGTTTGACACACGGTTCCTGCTTCACTGGCACGCACCGGCTCTGTGATTGACACAGGAAGAGATCTCGGTCTGCCTGTCTGCCTGTCTTCCATTTACTAGACTCTGTAATGTAGCAAGCTATGACAGTTAGTTATTGTGTTCATTACAAAAATAAAGGAGATTAATAAAATTACTGTTAGAGGCTCAGTCATTTTGTTCCTCTTCTGTGTTATGATTCTTCACACTAGAAGTTCAGACGGTAATGTGACTTTCAGCCCTGCAGTCTCCTTCCCACTCATATTAGCATTTCGTGTGTGTGTGTCTCTGTGTGTGTGAGTGAGTCACTCAGCTATGGACTGCAGCCCGCCAGCCTCCTCCGTCCATGGGATTCTCCAGGCAAGAATACCATTTGCTTCTCCAGGGGATCTTCCCAACCCAGGAATCGAACTCAAGTCTCCTGCATTGCAAGCAGGTTCTTGACAGTCTGAGCCACCAGTTAAGCCCTTACATTTCATAGTGCCCAATGTTTTTTGTCTCGTGATAGAGCTGTGTAACATTATTTATATAAATTTTATGCATTTCTGCTAGGGTTATTTTTAGATATTTTATTCTTTCTTGTGAATGATACTATGTCCCCAAGTACATTTTATAACCAGGATGAATGAAAGCTATTCACAGTGATAAAGAATTCACCTGCTAATGCAGGAGACTCAGGTTCAGTCCCTGGGTAGGGAAGATCCCCTGGAGAAAGGAACGGCTACCCACTCCAGTATTCATGTCTGGAGAATCTCATGGACTGAGGAGCCTGGGGAGCTGTAGTTTGTGGGGTCACAAAGAGTTGAACATGACTGAGCACACACCCACACACTGATGCTTCTGTATTTGTCATATCCAGCCATGCTTCTTGTTTAGTTGCTAAGTCATGTTGGACTCTTGGTGACCCCATAAGACTGCAGTACTGCAGACTTCCCTGTCCTTCACTGTCTCCTGGAGTTTGCTCAATCTCCTCCAGCCATGCTGCTAAGATTATTTTATGAATTCCAGCCTTTTGTTGTTGCTCCTCTCAGGTTCTCCAGCTTTGCAATGTACCATTCTCAGATACCTTAACTAGTTCTTGTTTTGCAATATTTGAAGCTGTTGGTATTGTTGTTGTCCGCTGCTTATATTAGCAAGACATTCAAGAGCAGGATTAAATAATAGAGGTGATTGCTATGATTTTTGTGTAATCTTAACAGGAATGCCTAACTCAGAATTATTATTTTGATCACCTTTATTTTCTTGTGTGGTTATTGGTCAGTTTTTTGCTTTAGCCTTTGGGATCATGTCTTTGCTGTTTTTGTTAATTTTCTGTTTACTAAGATTTTCAAATTCACTTCACACAGATGGAAAAGGAAGACAAGGATTTCCCAGCAGGTGTAGAGGAGATGACAGACTAAGGCTAGGTTCACTTGGACATTCTGATCTTGTAGTTTTTCACTGGTTACTCTCAATGCTTATCTTTTTTGCCTGTTTTACTCTAACTTTTACATTTTTATGTGCTTGTTTATTCTTGGTTGTGCTGGGTCTCTAGTTGCAGCGTGCGGTCTTTCCCTAGCATGGTGCTCAGGCTTCTCATTACGGTGGCCTCTCTCACTGGGGAGCACGGGCTCCATGCTCTCCGGCTTCAGCAGCTGTGATGCACGCATGCGGAATCTTCCCGGGGCCAGGATCAAACCAGTGTGCCCCACATAGCAAGGCAGATTCTTAACCACTAGACTATCATGGAAGCCCTGATCCACATGTTTTCGGAAAATGAGTCTTTCTGTTTGCAGTGGTGCTTTTTAACTTTTCAACCGTTTGGGGGGATTTGATTTAAACATTTTGTTGTTCTTTCCCCATGTGTGGGTGTACTGGAGATTATCATCTGTGTGATTTCTCCTTTGAGGAATCTGAGTTTTCCTTTGTAGCCTCAAACCTTTTTTTATAAAATACAACACCATTTTAAAAGTTGGTGCTGTTTCTTCTGTAGTTAATTCAGGTGTAGTATTTATACTGTTAACATTCTCTCAACCTTTTCTTCCAGATCACATTTTCATTTTACTTCAAGTGGTTTTTGCTCTGTTTTGTTGCTATTGTTTACCCAGTTTTGCACTCTATAATCTTCACCTGTTATCAATATAAGATAATCTACCTGCTGAATGCTCGTTACCTTAACTCTACTTTGTTAAAAAGGTGCCCACAAAGCTCTTTTTGTTGATAAGTTCATCTGGCATTTCTTTGCCTGTCTCCTCATTCCAAGTTTTTAGAATTATTTTGTTTTAGTTATCTTTACCAACGTAACAAATGGACTTTGCCACTGAAAGCTCAAATTCTTTTACTAAGTGAAATGTTCTTTTACACTGAAATGTTCTGTCTTTTATCACATTTTATGCTTTTATTACTTGTTTGCAGCTTCTTTGGTTTACTTTCTATAGTGATCTGGAAAGGAGAGTTCCTTTTTTTTAAGCATCCTTAGGAATGGTTTGGGGCTTCCCTGGTTGCTCGCAGGTAGAGAATCCGCCTGCATTGCAGGAGACACGGGAGATTCAGGTTCAATCCTGGTCAAGAAGATGCCCTGGAAAAAAAAAAAAAGAAGATGCCCTGGAGGAGGAAATGGCAACCCACTCTGGTATTCTTGCCTAGGAAGTCCCATGGACAGAGGAGCCTGGCGGGGTACAGTCCAGAGGGTCACAGAGAGCTGGACACGACTGAGCACTGAGCGCCTCGGAATGGTTTTCTGTTTTTAGGAGCACACTTGGAAGTTCCCAGTGAAGTATGATAAGCTGAACATATGCTTCACTTCCCTCTGCTGCATCTTGACCGCCGTTACAGTCCCCGTGGAGGAGTCTAAGGGTTGGGGTTGGCCCTGTCAGGAGAATGAGGCTTAGTCATTGCAGCCTATCCACAGCTCGTGTGCAAGTGGAGACAGGTCACGGTGAACAGAGGTGCTGTGACACGCATGCGTGCTCCGTCACTGCAGTCGTGTCCGACTCTTTGCGACCCCATGGACTGCAGTCCGCCAGGCTCCTCTGTCCATGGGGATTCTCCAGGCAAGAGTACTGGAGTGGGTGGCCATGCCCACCTCCAAGGGATCTTCCCGACCCAGGGATCGAACCCACGTCTCTCACATCTCCTGCATTGGCAGGCGGGTTCTTGACC